TTTAAAAAAAAAAAAAATAGGAATCGAGAAGAAAACAGGGCAAAAGAAAGATCAAACCTGCTGCGCATCATCGACCACCATCGCAATAGCCGGACCACCGTTCTTAGCCGTCGGGTCCCGTCGAGTCCCGTTGGAGTGTCGAGCATAGTCGTTGAGTCCCGTCGTGTTCCGTCGAAGTGCCGAACAAAGCCGGCGAGTCCCGGTGTGTTTTCTTCCCGCGGCTTCGTCGTTCACTCCCCTCAATCACCATCAGCAAGCAGTTTTTCCGGCGTCCAGCGAACTCCTTCCTCCATGCAAGTCGGCGAGTCCCGTTGTTCGTACGTTGTTGTCCCGAGCCGCTGATCGTGAGCCCCGGTCTTGCCGCCGAGCGCCTCCGCTGTGTGGCCATCGACATCAGCACCTGGTCGTTTCTCATTTCTCTGTTCAGCACCCGGTCACATTCCTTCAACCGTTTGTTTAGTGACCGTCGCGTTTCTCGGGTTGTTGTCTCGTCCGTTTTCGGTACTTGATGGCTTTATCCCGCTCGTATTAATTGCTTACGTGTTTACGTGCGTAATAATGTGTGTTACATGCTGAACGTGTGATTTATTGATTGTTTACGTACCTTAGATGTATTATCGAGCATTCTATTGTGTTTATATATGAGTTGGATGTCAAAGTGATTGCCGTCACTTTTGCTTAATTGTCGAACTGAGGTATATGTGGTGTTTTTTTCGTTAATATCCTGGAGTTATAGGTACTTGGAGTTGTCCTTGAGTTATTGGTTTTGGTTTGGGGTCGTTTCGATGTGTATATGCGGAGTTATGAATTTTCTAAATCGAGTATGCTGCTGAATCGTAATTAATTCATGATAAATCGTGTGATTGTCTGACGGCCATGAAATTTTATATGTGATGTACTGTGATGATTTTGTAAGTCGTGTAAAAGTTTCAAGTCGAAACTCTATCTGTATGTATTTTAATTAATTGAATCCGTTTATGGTCAGAATTTTGTAAAATTCATTAAAAATCGTACACTTGTAGTTTTGAGCTGAAGCTTTGAGGAGTATGTTATTTTGTGGTCTTAAGTGTTGTGTCAAATATTTGGATTAAAATTCGAAGTGTAGCTATATGAACAATTAATGTCGGGTTTTGACACTGTTTTTACTTAAATTATTTAAAAATACTCCCGAATGAATTTAGGGCTGAAACTTGGTGAGATTATGTGTTTTTGTATGCCTGGTGATGTGGTAAAGTTTCAGGTTGATTGGTTATGTCTAACTCTAGATTCTGAATTTTGTTTATTTTAGAGTCTTAATGCTCAATTATCCGTTGTTTAGGTTCAGATTGAATTTTATTGATGTTGGCATGATTTATGTGTTTTACCTGAGGTATATGAGTTGTGTTCAGGTCTATTAGTCGCTCCAAAGTACTTAACTCAGTCAAGGAATCCACGAGTCACTTAGTCGATATGATTTCGGCTAAGTATATGTGCTTTGTGTGTTGTCTTGGATTGGATAGTCAGTTGATAGGCTATTATAATTGTT